TGGGGGACTTTCCTCTTGCCTTTCTCCCCTTCTCTTCCCCTCCTTTCTTCTTTCTCATTCTCTCTCTTTCTTTCCTTCCTCCCTCTGTCTCTCCCCCACTTCTCAGAAGCACTATATTTTAAGTGTTCAGTAGCCACCTGGAGCTAGTGCTTACTTACTGGACAACGTAGTTATAGAATTTTTCCATCATCGTAGAAGTTCTGTTGGACAGCACTGATCTGGAAGCATTGTTTACTTGTAAATGTGTAAATTACTAATTGAATTTGTAATTTATTCAATTTGAGAGCCTCTCCCTAAATTGTTTAGCCTCACACACACAAAAAGAAATAAAAGAAAAAAAAAAAATCCCTTCTCCCAAACCTTAAAAAGATTATCTGATATTTTATACAGCACTCATGGTTCTTGGGATAACTTTCCCACAGCTGTTCAAAAGTAAAAACCATCCCAGTGTAATTCCAAGTACGAGGAGGAGGAGGCTCTTATGAATGAAATTTGAGGGATGATTAACACTAGAAACATAATCATCATTGTTCCAGAATTTGAAGAGAATCTTGGTCCAAAGCTCCCCATATCTTGTATGAATTTAGGAAACTCAGGAAACTCCTTTTCTCTTGACCCCTGGGTAGATCTTCTCTTTGTACTCATTGATACATGAAATTCCTTCAAAAAGAAGAAATAACTTCTAAGTATTTACGCATAAAACTTCAGTACATATATCCTTGGGAGAAAACCACTAGGCTATAAATTACGTTTATCTACCATTTTCCAATAAGTTTTCATAGAAGTTGGAAGAAAACATTCAAACGTGTGGAATTTCTGGGTTAAAGAAGAACTGGTTGGAAGAGAAGGATCAGAAGCTTTGGAGTAAGGACAGATCTTACTGGCCAATTTTGCCAAAGTTTGGCATTAGCTATTTAGACAATATAAAATAACAACTGAATTGTCAGAATATCCAGCTCTGGTTTCCTTTTGCTTGAAAGTGTGGTGCTGTAGACTGAACAAATTTACTCTCAGCTTGAGAATGACCCATACTGGTTTAGGATAGTATCTTACAGAACACATGATCTTTGATGGGATTTTTTTCTAAATTACAGAATTACAGAAATTACAGAATTTCAGGGTCTGAGGAAATTTGGGTAGCATCTTCTCCATTCCACTAACAAGAATTTGAAAATTATCTTCTTCTGAACTTCAGGGCACATTTCAGGGATAATACAAAACTTTACCTGAATTTTCAGTTTTGTTATAAAACTCAGTAGATGAGACTAAAAGCTTTGCGTCTTCTGCACAGGGCAAAAATACCTTATAATGTTTGTGGAGCTACAGTTTCCTATTTTAAAGATGATGAAAATGAAGTCCAGAAAAGGACAAAGACTTTCCAAAGGCCGGGAGCGAGGCAGCAGCGCGAGCGCACACGCACAGTCCTCTGTGTGCTCTTCCCGCTGCACTCTGCTGACTGCTCACAACTGCTTTCTTTCAGTCCTTCGCTGTGGAGGCTGATACAGCTTCCCACAGTTCAACTGGGTACAATTATTCATTCTTTATCTTTTACTTTGGTGTGCTTGTATTCATTTTCAAACAGTGCTAAAAGCATCATACTAAGCAAAGATAGCTTAGTAGAGTATTAAGGAAAATAGAAAAATGACAATAAACTATTATCAGCATGTCTCTGTGGTAGAATTATACTAAAGTGTGTTTGTGATGTTGCGGGGGGTGGGAACTCTTCTTCCTATGTCTCTGCTATTTGAAAGGAGCTTGCCTTCATTTGCATAGCGAAGCTGTCTGCTTCCATAAGCACGATGAAGGATTCATTCATTTTCCTGTAGATATTTGAGACAGTAAATATTTCCAATATTTTCAGCTGAAAGACAGGACTGTTTTCTGAAATGTTTTGCTGTCTTACTCCTGAAGCCAGCCCAGTACCCTTCTCGTTCTTGAGCCAGTGTCCTTTGGCTCTCTGTAAATGTATGAAGTCTGCTTTTGCTGTCATCGACCTATTGACTTCCACGCATGTACATGTATATGTGTGTGTGTGTACATATATATCTTTTTAAAGAAGTCCTCATTTACCAACATAACACAAGACAACAAAAGAGCATAAGCTATTAATTGTAATGGTAGGTTTTTATTTGATTTGGCAGGTAAAGTGTTAATAAGTTAACATCCTTAACATTGCACATAACCTTCTCCCTAACACATAAAGGGGAATACAATCCTAGGCTTTTATTTGTTTTTTGTTTTTGTTTTTCTTCTGGTACCAGAAATCAAACTCATGACCTTGAGCTTGCCAGGCAGGCGCTGTGCTGCTGAGCTAAATCCCCAGATCCAATCCTAGGCTTTTATACATGAGAAAAATAAACCAAAAATAAACCTAAGAGAGAGAGAAAAAAAAATGAGCCTTGCTCCTTTATGGGATATGAGCCTAGATATGATTAAGATGATTTACTGCATTTAACCCTAACCCTGAAATATCCAATGCAATCACATAAAAGTGAAACTATGTATTTTTTTTCCAGAAGAAGAGATAAAGAAAATTTGACTCTCTCCATTGCTATTTGATGCATTTATGTCTCCTCCTTGACCCTTTGGCTTCCTTTCTCGTTTCTGAACCCCACTTTTACCATGCCATCTGTTTTTGTTGTTGATAACAGTTAAAATCTACCCCCCTGCAGCTGCTTTTCTACTTTTCAGCTGTGTCCAGATATTAACAACTAAGCCCCTTAGAAGTGGTGCCACTTTGCTCACTGACGTCTTTCTCTTCAACAGCAGAGGCAATACATATTGTGAAAAAATACATAATTCCTCCAAAGGACTTCATTAAACAAGCTTCATTTACAGGTTTTTTTGTTTTTTGTTTTTGCTCATTTAGAGGTTTTAAAAAAATGCAGCCATAAACATTTCCCTCAAATTTGATTGTCATGTCAAACAGTGGCTCACCACTGAGCCAAGTATTTTCTTTTTCTTCTTGAAAAAGATTAATTTGTTTGCTATCACAGCTGCTTTCTTGTGTATCTTATCTTCTAGGGGCCATGCATGAAGACCAAAATATATCTTAGACACAAGATATATTTTGTGTATATCAAAATATCACACTGCAGCAGTAGTGTATCCAGTTCAGTTAAAGATTTCAATGATCTCTAGAAATCCCTTCTGGAACCCCATATTAGTAATTCTAATAAAGCGGGTATCACGAGTACAAAGGCAGCCAGTAAGAGGCCATTCCTTTCCCTTTGCTTCTTGTTCCACATCTGCTCTCTCTTCCTCCTTTTTTTCTTTCCTCCTATTCCTCCTTAAATGAACAGCCTTCTCCTCACTCTCCCCTGCCTGTTTCTGAACACAGGCAGATGGTTTTTAATGCTCACTAAGATGTTCTATAGCTAATATTGTACCTTGCTTTTGTATCCTGATAGTCTTACAAAAGGGTATTCCTAGACAATACCTATCTGGTTTTGATTCTCAGTGCCACTATGGGAAGTAGGGCATGGCTGTTAACCTCTATTTTTCTGATGAAAAAATAAAGTTCTCAAAGTTGATCTAACTAGATAATGATGAGTTCATGACTGAAAACTAGGAGTTCGAGTAGCTAAGCTCTTTCAGAGTTGAAATCCTGTCCCCATACCTTATTTTGTTATGACAATAATTCCACTAAAAAAGATCTACATTCCTGGGTAGTGAGTGTAGATAAAAGAAGCGATGCCTATCCAGCAGTTCTCTGTACACTTGGCAGATGTGACTGTGGTGCTTTTGGCCTGTTCTGACTTCCAGGGCTATTCCTGCAGCACCCTTTGGTGGCCTCCTCACACCTGAATTCCAAGATGTAACCCCAGGATTGAACCAGAACACAGAGTTTGGGACTTGACAACAAAATAGCAAAGAATTTTTCTCTTACAAGTCTGTAACTTTTGGAGCATCATTACATTCAAAATAGACTTTTAGGGCAAAGAGGATATTTGAGGCAGGGGACGGGAGGGGGAGAGCACGGAACAGTAAAGTCCCATGAAGACAGCAGGTGGGTGAGTCAGAAAGCGAGCCGTTATTGGCTCCTTGGGACCTGTCCGGGCATCTTGACCTGGCTATTGAACCCAGAATATTTTTGCTACAATTTCCTGCTAAGGTGACTGTAGGCCAGCTTGTGGAAGAAAAAAAAAATGTGAACTTTGGTTTTGGAATTCCTCTAGGTGCCACCTTGCTGAATCTTCAAGTCTTCCTTGATCCCTTGTCCTATTTTCTAATCACTCTTATAGCTACATAGCTCATGACTCACTGCATGCCCTAAAGGAACGCCAGGCTTTTCTTTCTCTCTCATTTTGGTTGCATCACCAGACAATCCTGCTGTGCCACTTAATGGCAGCACAGTATTACTCTGACCAGTGTCCCAGGTGGCTCTATTCTTTCTGTACTTACACGTGATAAACGCTGAGGTTGGTTTCCTGTATCTTTTACTCTTGGTATGCGGAGCTTGGACTATTGCTGTTAGATGGTCCCTTCCAAACCTGAACATTTCTATGGTCTACCTGTGATCATCTCAAAATCAACATGTTTGAAGAGTTCCACTTGGAGTTTCCTCCAAATGTGCTCTTTCTTTTGTGCTATTAATTTATTTTTTCCATTGATTAAGTTTAAAAACTATTCAAATATTATGCTAGTTTAAATTTATAGAGTTTAAATCTGTACCCTCAGATTTCTGTAATTCTGTTGGAATGAATCTCTCCCTGTCCTCTGAACCATGACAACTCTTTCTTTATATCTCACTTGGGAACAACCATCTTGTAATAATGGCTACCACATTTGAGGTCATAGGTACTCCTTCTCAGAGCCTGTAAGTCTCAAACTGTCCTTTCTCTGCCCTTCTATCTACATCTTGGCATAGAAGATGGAGATAGCAGGGATAAGGTATTACAAAGTGTAGGAATTAAAGTCTCTGTTATAGACATACTTCAATTTTAGCCAGGCTCTCAAATGTCTTTTTTTTGGTTCAGTTTTGTAACTTTATTTGAAAGTTAGTTTCCATCCACATTCACTGTCTGGGAATTTTTGAACATGGTAACAGGGACATAGGTTACCAAAGTGTACAGCTTGTTTGGTGAATCTTCATCTTCATTACATTTTCTGGACAGCTGTACATGGATGTAATATGAGATATTCCTTATTCCTTTGGTCCAGACAGCTTTGTTGAGCCTGGTGTCAATGCACACATCTGGATTCCCCATCTCCTTCAAGGCAAATTTCCTGGCATTGCACTATGAATCAATCCCAGCATCACATCTTTAATCCCAGCATCACACATTCTAGACCCAGCCACCTCTGAAAAGCCCCACCTGTGACTGCATGACGCTTTGGGAGGGCATCTAAACACAAGCCATAACACCTACTAAAGCATAATTTATAATATTCTCTGAACAATCCAGACCTTGGTGATCTATGCAACTACTCCAACCCTTAGTGATCTACCCAAATCAAGAGTACCCAAAGTACTCTAGTACTTAAGTACTCTAGTACTTTGTACTCTAGTACTTAAAAGTACTCTAGCATGCCTCTTGAAGCCCACTCCAAGGATGCACTTGTGAATGTTGATGGTGTATTCTCGGGTCACCACCTCATTGATGGCAGGATGACCCTTCTTCTCACCACCCTTCTTTGTGGGAGCCATTCTGCTGGGCTCAAGTTGGAAAGGCTCAAATGTCTTCAGTTAGCACACTACCTCATATTCCTTTGCAGCTATTCTAATGGTGGGCACTTCATTCCTCAGATACCCTTCCCTTCCCCACCTCCTTGGAAACAGTCTTTCTTCCTCAGTCACAAAAGACTAAGAACAACACCAAGGAAAAGCTCAATAGATATCAGATTTTTCATCCTGACTTCATTAAGCCTACTGGGTTTTTTTGTTCATCTGTAAATTAGGGATAATATTAGTGCCCATCCTAAAAGGTTACTATAACAATTAAATAAGAGAACCCTTATGTCTGCCCAGTGCATCTTGGTATACGGTAGGAGTTATCACAACATAACAGAGCAATTCTTTAACAGTTCTTTATTTACATCAAGAAGAGACAGAGCAAGATCAGCTTTAAGCGCATGCCTCAGTCTCCTATGGCTAGTGGTCTCTCCTGGAAGGCCACATAGGGCCATTTGTCTGCACATTACTACCCTTCCACCCTCTGCTGCCGAGAAAAGATTCTCTCCTCTCCCCCTGAGGAGTCTGAAATACTGAAGCAGGGGTGCCTGAAGGCCACTGACACATATATTTCATCAGAACCCAGGAGCAATCGCTGAGCATGAAATAAGAAAAGATACTCCTACTTTCTACTGAGAAGCCTGGCTTGGGCTGTGTGGACCCTTCAACTTTTGATAAGAATGTGTCCCAAGCTCAAGGCTCACCTGTGGCTGAGCAGGGGTCCTGAGACTACATGGGACTGTCCTGCCCAACACTTTGCAAACTACTTATCACAGTGTCTGGCATAGAGTGAGTCCTCAGGGCATATGAATTCATGTTATTACTAATAACTTTCTCACCACATACAACTTTCTCTCTCTTATATCTTTTTCTTCGCTTTCCATGTCCAGCAGAAAAGGTTACCTTTTTTCTATCTGGCTAATTTCATTTCACTGTGATCTATCTCCATTTTCTCCTTGCTATCCAGCCTTATCAAACACCTTTCTCCTAAATTCCTCTTTATCTTAACCCTTCACACCTATTTGGCTCTTTTCTATCAGCACATAAAGAGGTTTAATCTCTTTATTGTAAAACAATCCTCCTTCAACACCTCTTCTCTCTTTGTCCTTTCCCAGTTATTCCCATTCCTTCAAAACTAAGTTTCTCCAAGCCAGTCTCACTATTTTTGCTTCATCACAATCTCTCTGCTGCAATCTCCCTCCCTCCCAGCATTCTTCTAATAACACTCTTACCCATGTTCCTAATGACCACTTGATTTACTGATTTCAAGTGTCTCCTATGAGTGCTCATAAGCATACCTGGGTATGTTTCTATCCTGTCCTTAGCACATTTGTCTGACTTTCCCACAAGCTTCCTGAAGGCAAGGCTTAGGGTCTGGGCAGGCACAGTGTCTGTCTTACAAAGGTTGCTTGACAATGTCTGATGAATGAATGAAAAATGGAGTGACTGGCAACTACCTCTTGTTGACACTGTCCAGTACATTGTGTGGCACATTTAAAGTAATCCTTACTAGCTTCCTGCCTGGTGGCTCCCGGAGGGTGGGCCCCCAGCGCACGG